CTCCTGCTTTTCGCCCTTCTACTATTGACCCATCTACCTCAACGACCACTAACATTCCCCCTCCTCCATCGATGGGTCCTCCTGCTTCACCGGTACCTGCCTCAGGTCCTCCTTCCCCTATGGATGTGGTTCCGCCTGTTGTTGTAGTTGATTCCTCTCGCCCTCAGCGTACCCATCGACTTCCTTCTCGTTATCGTGACTGACCTATACCCCTTCTACGCTCTCTATCTTATACCATTCCTGGACACTTGTGCTTTTCTTCAGTACCAGAGTACATGTCGCATTGTTCTGGACTTCTACTCGGTCTCTGCACTACTCCTACTTCATCCTGGCTACTTCGGCTCGACTTCAGTCTGGAGACTTATCAGTTGGACTACTTCACTTTTTCGGCTACGGAGTTCCCATCATTCCCATTTATCCACTATCATCGAGTTCCCTCCCTCCAGTCGCATGATGACCCATATTTCCCCTGTCTATGTGGGTGTGTTCGTTTGTCGCCCTTCTGCCTTCCCTATGCCACGTGCCCTCCTCCGGAGTGTACGTTTTCTTTGTTCGCAGCTTTTGGCCACATGTCTTTGTTGGCATAGCCCTCTCTCCTTCCAGACTCACCTTATGTGTGCTCCCTTGTGTGAGTGTCCTTCCCCTTGCAGCTGGTTGTACCCGTTTGATGGTTTCCATTGAGACCAGTGTTGTGTTGTTACTCTCCTTCTGAGCCTGAATACCCTTACCTGGTTGTGTGGGTGCCCCCTTAGAGTTTACTCTGAGAGTTGTACGTGCCGCCTTCCCACACGTTCCTACCTCTGCCATGCGACCGAGTTCCCTTCTCTTTTGTTCATGTATTGTGTATTGTGTACAGGGCACGTGAGACTGTGCCATATTCTTTTCGACTTAGGACATTGGTTTAGTTATTCTTTGGCCTTTAGGGCACTGATGTTAATTTATATTCAGCCACTTTGGCTCAGGAGACATTTTTTCTCTTTCTTGGTCGACACAAGTCAGGCATTTTTCTCTTTCCTGGCCGACACATGTCAGACATTTTTCTCTTTCTTGGTCGACATAGGTCAGACATTTTTCTGCGTTTTGGGTCGACTCAGACCGGATATTTTTGCATATATTAGGCTTGAGGCTTAGCCTGCATTGCGTCTTTTATCCTGCATGGAGCTTGCTCTGCATCTAGGATTGTTTCCTTTGCCGTTCCTTTTGGGTTTCCGCTATTTCAGCGGATACCGTGTTTGATGTATCGCTTTATCCATTCACAAGTTTGAGGATCGTGCGGCCCGACAGTGAGGCCGGACCAGTTTCAGGCCGTCGGCCTGACCCTGGTCCGGTACCAGGTTGTTCCCGTACCTTGACCTAGGTTGGTATATCACTTCGGCCTAGGCCCAGGTCCATGAGGGGTTCATTCATTCGGTTCTTCACTCGTCCATTCGGTCGGGTTGGACGTTCACTCAGTTGCTGCTTCTCGTGTGTATCCATCTCATTTGTCTCTCTCTCTTACCATCTCCGCACGTGCCCTCCGCACGTGCGTCACATATGGGGTAAAAAATTTTGGGTGACCGCTCCTTCAAGATATTGTGAACGACCTACAACTAGCTCTTGTAGAACCGAGACTTTTGAAAAAAGGAAGGACCGGTCCTCGGGCGGAAGCGGACCCTAAGAAGATATGAGGGGGCGAGGCGGATCCCAAAAAGAAGTGAGGGGGGGAGGTGTCCCACAATTTGAAAGAGGCAACTTTTACAAATTTTTGTTCTCACAAGGATTCACAGAAAAATCTGAAAATTTTAGAATTCGTAGATTATGTCAATTATCTTTCCAAGAAAAATATCAGAAACATTGAATTTTTTTACTAAGACCGTTAAATAATTGTCGCACCGATTCGATACATTTTTCATATTTGCCACTCAACCATGTATGGGCCAAGGAAAAAGTACTCAAACTTCAGCCATTTTTCGTGCTCAGAAGAAAGAGTAAAAAATGCTGAAAATTTGACTACACCTAGATTTTGTTGTGATCTTTCCAAGAAAAATATTAAATAAAATTAAAAATTATATTAAATGTGAAATAGATCGCGGCCGCAATTTGCCCATATTCCAATTTTGTCATCTAGCCTCTCTCTCTCTCTCTCTCTCTCTCTCTCTCTCACACACACACACTCTCACTCTCTCTCT